GCCATGACAGGCAGCACAGCTCCCTCTCCTGCTCCGGTGTCACTCCCTGAGTTGACTTTTTCTAATGCCTCCACACCTAAATCCTGGCTCTAGAGGGAAAAGCAAGTTTCAGCTTTTGGGGTAGGTTCGCAAAGCTGGTGAAGGGTCTAGAGCATAAGGAGCAGCTGAGGGAACTGGGGTTGTTTAGCCTGGAGAAAAGGAGGCTGAGGGGAGAACTTACCACTCTCTACAACTACCTGAAATGAGGTTGTAGTGAGGGGGAAGTTGGTCTCTTCTCCCTAGAAACAAGCAATAGAACAAAAGGAAATGGCCTCAAGTTGCACAAGGGGAGGTTTGGATTGGATATTAGGAAAAAAATCTTTACTAAAAGGGTTGTCAGGCACTGGAACAGGCTGTTGAAGGAAGTGGTTGTGTTCATTGAGTAAATGTGTCCCTGGACGTATTTAAAAGGCATGCAGATGTGGTGCTTAGGGACATGGTTTTATGATGGACTTGACTAGGTTAACAGTTGGACTTGATAATCTTAAAGGTCCTTTCCAACCAAAACAATTATGTGATTTATAATCTTAAGTTTATAGTTGAAACCATTTCCAGTGGCAGGAGTGTCAGACCTCAGAGCTATGGATTTGATCTCTGCTTTAAATGAAGAGGAAAAATAACTGGGAAGCTGCTTTTTCTGCTGATGGTTGTTTTCCTCATTATAAATGTGTATATCTTTATATAAATTTTGTTCAGATACATGAAAGGAAAAGATGCAGCAAATTTGATCACAATAGACCCAACCACAGGTGAAATCCGACTTGCCAAAAAACTTGATTACGAATCGTCTCATGTAGTAAATGGTACCTACACTTTCACCATATTAGGTGTAACTACTGGTAAGTTGGGACATTGTTGTTTTTTTTCATGCTAATTTGTTTGTTTAGGCTGTAGTTTGCCTTTCTACAAATGCAGTTGCTTTAACCTTGCTTTCTCCAACTGCCTAAAAGTTAGGCACTTAGTGCAGTTTCCCGTGGGGTTTATATTTGGAGGAGAGATATGGGCTACTCATTGAAATAGGATGAACCTTGGAATGGGTTCCCGAGGTACCCATTTCTCTTCTTAGACTGGATGGAGGTGAACTTTTTGTAGAAGTTTTGCAAAGACCAAGTCTGATAGGAACATCCCTTGTCAAGGTAGAAATTGCTAGTATCTCAACTAATCAGCAGACTTCAGAGTCCTGGATCCTAAAAAATGAGTTCTTTATTTTAAGATTAATTTTTTGTACTTTTCAAATAAATTTAATTTTTCATGTTTTAAAATCTTAGATTTTCCTCAGAAAACAGCCACTGGCACAGTTGTCCTTCAAGTTAAAGATGAGAATGATAACTGCCCAGTTATTGTGAACCCTGTGCAGACTGTGTGTTTAGATGCAAAATCAGTTGATGTTACTGCTCGTGATTTGGATGGTTACCCAAACAGTGAGCCCTTCAGCTTTACTGTCATTGATGAGCCAGAAGGGACAGCAGAAAAATGGAAAATTGCATCCAGAAATGGTAAGAAAATACATTTTTAATCACCTTCACTTCTTTGGAACCCGAGTGTTGTAATTTGTTAATTCCAGTCAACTAACAGTTTGGCTGATCCAGATAAAAAACAAACAAACATATATATGGCGTCAGACATGAAGACATGTCACTCATGTTCTGCTCCCTTCTCTCTAATGGCTGTAAAAGCCCAGTCATGTTTTCTGGGGCCTGTCACCTTCCCTCAGTTGGACCATCTTGGCCTAGTTTCATAGCCTGTCTGTGGTGACCAGGATTTTATGGATGATGCTGGGATCAAACCATTCCTGTCTTCCCACAAAAAGCATACAGTGATGAAGGATGCCCATTGTTAAAACTGAGAGCTTGGAGATCTGGTGGTGCTACTGGCTGCAGTTGCTCTAATATACAAATAAATTAATAAATATGTCTGCACAGTGGACCTCGAATAGGGGAAATACAGTGTAACCCATCTAAGATTGTCCAGCATGCTAAGAACAAAAATAAGTTAGAGGTCCTAAATCATTTTAGGGAGTATTTCGAAATGAGATGGGTATTTTCTTCCTACATTTCCATTCGTATAAGCCACTGAAAGTGCTTGAAGAAAGTGCTTCAGGTAGATGCAAGGCACGAGAAAACATCTTAGCTTTCCTCACCCTGCTAGCAGCCAGACCAGCAGCAGTTGTAGGGATCATAGGTTTTCCAAATTGGGTGGTGTTCTCCAGCTTGGAACATGACCTGGACCTCTCACGCCTAGCTGTGTCCTTGACAAGAGGTAGCCACAGAAGCAGGTGTAAACAGGTCACCGGTCTCTGCCTGTGGCCTGCAACAGATTAATCTTCCAAAGACTGAAGCTGGGTTTTTTTGTGAATTCAGCCTTTAGCACTCCAGATGACATGAAGGTTAATGCTATATAGGTGATTGGGCTGTCTTCCATGATAATTCTCTGCTGGTTTGAAACTTCTGAGGCTGTAAGTGAACATGGTTGCTTTGTTACCAGCATGAATTACTTGATAAAACTAAGAGCATATCTGATGTAGCAGCAGCTAATTAAACTTAATTCCGTCTCATTGACTGGGCATAACTGGAGGGGCCTTTGTTGGGAAGCTGTGAAGGTTTTATTTCCCTGTTTTTACAGAAGTCAACTTTTTCTCCACTGATTTCTTATTTTACTTTTCTTTTTCTTTATCCCCTTCTGCCTCAGACACCAGCATACAGCTGGTACCGCAAAACCTGAAGCTGGGCAGAACTGAAGTTCCCATCCTAGTGAAGGATTTCCAAGGGTTCAGCTGTGCTCAAGCACAGTCTCTGCAACTGACTGTTTGTAACTGTGCGGAGGAAGGGGTATGCAAAGAGAAAATAATTGGCGCCAAGTCAGTGGGCCTGGGACCAGGAGCGATTGCGCTAATCATCTTGGCATTTTTACTTTTGCTGCGTAAGTAATTGTTTCATGTTATCTCAGAAGCTGTGTAAATACGGTCTGCGTGGCATCAGAAAAGAAACAAACCAGCTCCCAGGTTTTATCATCTTGATATATCCTGTGTCAGCTCCTAGCCTGTGTGAAGTCATGGCAAATCCCCAACTAATTTTGGTAACATCAGCATTTCACCTTCTAAGGATTTTGAGTGGTGCGTTTCAAAATTAGTATGTACAACTGTAATATTTGTTTATGGTGCTGTAAATAACAGGTGGGGAAGCAGTAAGGAATCTTCAGTGTTCCCAGGCTTCTCCGTGTGAACCCTAACTCTTTCCACTCATGCTGCAGTGTGTTTTCCACTCTCTTTTCCCTCACTGCAGCCCCAAGTCTGGTGCCTTGCTCTGAGCAGCACGTGATGTTTTTCTTTGGCAAGACATAATAGAAGCTTGAAAATAAGAGAAGAATGCTTGTAGTCAGGGTATGGCCATGTGTACCAGTGCTGTGTTTAAAATGGCAATAGTTTACTGCTTGGGCTGGTAGCAATCTAGCTATGGCAAAACGAAGTTCATGCCACAAGATTATGTTCTGCTCCTGAAACTGGCTTGTAGTGAGTTCCCCAGGCAGTGCTCTAGAGGTGTCACAGAAGTGGTGAGGTGGAGTGCACATCATTATCTAGTGGTAAAAGAACAGGAAGAGTCAGAAGTCCTAAGGTTGTACAATGATGGTTAGGGCTTGGTTTTAGTATATGAGATCTTTGATAGCCGTCTAGCTATATGGCTGTGTGGTGGATTGAGGCCCTGACAGGCTATTTGTCAGTTTTCTCTCTAGGAAACCAGCCAGCCATATGTTTCTAAGAAGTACCTTGAATATTTAGGAATGTGTTTTGAGCCCTCATTCTGTTCACTAGCTCACTAAAGATACATTTTGGTATGAGAGCTGACCGATTTTTGGTACTGGCTGTGTGAGCATTCTTTGACCCTCATCACCACATGGTTAATGGCAACTTGTGTTTCCCCATAGTTCTTCCATTGTTGCTGCTGCTGTGTCCCTGCGGCTCAGGAGCAAAGGGATTTGCTGCCATACCAGACTACAGCGAAGCCATGTTGCGTCAGTGGAACAGTGAAGGGGCAGCTCCTGAGGAGAAGGCACGTATCCCTAACAGCATTGCTCTTTGATTTCTATCCAGGTGTTCAGTTTGGCACTCAGTGTCTCTTCCACATTATAGGCTGGCATTTTGGGGCTGTAGAGCACATTTTAACCACACGTGAACATTAATTAAAATTAACCGTGTAAGGCTTGGTGAAGGATGCATGGAAGATTAACTGTTCTGTGCTTTGGGAGCATGGTAAAGCAGCAAGAGAATGGGTTATAAATCTTAGCTTCTAGTTAAAGTTTCACATTGCATTTTAAATTACTTCCCTCTTGTATTTGCCTTCTTAAACAGAGTAAATTCTTTAAAGAAAAAAATAAAAGAAAAAAAAAGTGCAAATCTGCAGAAGGAACTGGGAATGCCAAGGGAAGGTTGCCCATTCTTGTTATGCTACAAAACCCAGTTTTCAAAGGACAAGAGCACGACACTGGCATGCTTTTGCAGGAACAAAAAAACAGAAGTAGGGTAAAAGACTTTGATTGTGAGCCAATGCTCAAACTAAATTAGTGATAAAAGACAATTATCAGGGAAGCCAAACTGCTAGAAAATAAGACAGGGCCAGGCAGCACCACAGAGGTAGTGGGCAGTGCACACTCCTCTGCTTCATGTTCAGGGAAAGCTGGCCAGAGTCTGTATTGGAACAGCTGAGCTCCCTGGAGTTTTTCAGACCTTTTTTGGGTGGGTTTTTTGGTTTGATTTGTTGTTTGGTTGGTTTTTCTCCTGCTTTCACTCCCAACCCCTTGAGTTTCAAGAAAACAAGGACCTAGATAAACATTTCCATGATCCTTTCTGGAAACGCTGTTGTGGGAGCTGCACCCTATTTCAGGAAGCCCTTTACTCTTTGCAGCAACATGTACGATTGCAAATTCAAACAAGTCATAAGACAGCACCCTCCCAGGTCCCACCCAGCCCCACTGCTGGTTTGGTGAGTTCTGTGTGCTAGACAGCACACCTTTCATGTCACATCCTAATTCATGTTATTTATGTAGCCAGTACTAAACCTCATCCCACCCACTCTACTGGCGAACCAAAAAGGAGTGACCAGCGGAGCAGCAACAGCAGTAGGAATGAGTGGAGAGGAAACTGCAACAGGAGGAGGCAGCTCTGCCTCTCAAGTAAGAGAGCATTGCAACACCATTACCAAGGAAAGATGGGAAGAACAAAGACATCTCCTTTCTGGTGCTGACTGTGGAGCCGTGGCAGCTGGAGGGGCTGAAAGCATGGCCGGTGTAGACGGCAAGATGCTGGTGGCTGGAGGAGGAGTCTCAGTGAGAGCTGCAGGAGCCATGAATGAAGAATTTTTAAGAGACTACTTCAATGACGTAAGCATATGACATGAAACACAGTATTTTGGTATTTACACTTAGCATTGGGAAATGTTCATATTATTACAAACATGGATGAGTAGGTATATATATATCAGTGGTCCTGATACAACGGCAAATGTGTGCACGAGGAGTTGGGGGCATTAAGGATTTTTGAATTAGGCTCACATGTGGGACTTGGAGCACAACAATGCTTAGTCTTATAGCATTGGGTGCTTGCAAGTTCTTCCACAACGAGACCCTTCTTTTGAGGGAGGCACTTGGGAATAGGATCCAGAATATTCAGCAATGACGGAGGAGCCCCTTGCCCAGGAGGAAGCCATGAGAAAGATTGTGAGATATAAATCTCAGGGACTTAAGCACATTAAACTGGCCTGTAGGGAGGTACCTATGACTCACCATGAGTCACAGCTACAAACTTCACCATGGAGCAGGTTTCTGAAAGATAAGACATAGATGTCAAATGGTAGAGGGTGGGTCTGTATTTTCAAAGTAGCTGTTGAAGTAGCTGATGCTGGACTTGTCTCTGCTCAACAGCCTGGGTAAAGGGCCACTCATCAACAGCGTATGAGGCACATGTTGCAATTCTGGCTTTTTTTTTTTTTTTTGGTGACCTCAGCATTGATCAAGAGGCTATTCCTACTTATTGCAGCTAATTCTCTTTGCGTGATGCACATCATTAGTCCTTTGGCTGGTGAGCTCCTTAGGGTGAAAGTTTCACTTCTATATGCCAGGGAGTGTACAGATGGGGCATCACCTGTACAAGTAAAACATCTTCACACCCTGTAGATGGCTGATGATGGGGTTCTGCAGGGGAATAACTGCAGGTTTGAATCACCTCCTCAGGCCAGGGAAGGATTTGAGCTCAAGATACTTACATGTCTCCTGAGTGCTTTAGGTTCTAGTAATCTGGGTGAACAGATGAAACAGTAGCAATTCTGCTTTCCTTCCACTCTTTGCACTTCATAATATTAAGACATACTTTAAGCGTAGCTGCCTACTGAAGTCCTCCAGGAGAGCCTAGTAAAGGTCATACTACAGTACTCTTTACAACTTTGAGGCTAAAATAACTCAAATTATAGGGGGGAGTAATTCAGGTAACCAGACCAAATTGTTCCAGGTATGTACTGATTTTTGTAGAAGCATCTCAGGTAACGTGCCTACTTCCAGGATTAAATGCAGATAAACATGTAGTGTCAATTGGGGTCTGGATGTATACCATAATTACACAGATGCCAAAGCTAATACGTACTGTATAACTTCAGATGTGGCAGAAAGTGGTTCTCTGCACAAGCCAGCAGCTGTGTTATGTGAAGCTGGTTCA